CTTGTTCCTAGTAGTAAGGCCAGGAGCCCCTAGTAGCGTCCTTGCTCATAGTAGCGATGCCAGGAGCCCCTAGTAGCTTCTTTTTCCTAGTAGCAAGGCTAGGAGCCCCTAGTAGCGTCCGTGCTCCTAGTAGCGATGCCAGGAGCCCCTAGAGCCCCTAGTAGCGTCCGTGCTCCTAGTAGCGATGCCAGGAGCCCCTAGTAGCTTCTTGTTCCTAGTAGTAAGGCCAGGAGCCCCTAGTTAGTAGCGTCCTTGCTCCTAGTAGCGATGGCAGGAGCCCCTAGTAGCTTCGAGTTCTTAGTAAGGAACCCCTAGTGGCTTCTTGTTCCTAGTAGCCTCGTGTTCCTAGTAGTAAGGCCAGGAGCCCCTGGTAGCGTCCTTGCTCCTAGTAGCGAGTAGTAAGGCCAGGATGCCAGGAGCCCCTAGTAGCTTCTTGTTCCTAGTGCTGAGGCCAGGAGCTAGTAGCGTCCTGCTCCTAGTAGCGATGCCAGGAGCTCAGGAGCCGCTAGTAGCTTCTTGTTCCTAGTAGTAAGGCCAGGAGCCCCTAGTAGCGTCTTTGCTCGTAGTAGCGATGCCAGGAGCCCCTAGTAGCTTCTTGTTCCTAGTAGTGAGGCCAGGAGCCCCTAGTAGCGTCTTTGCTCGTAGTAGCGATGCCAGGAGCCCCTAGTAGCTTCTTGTTCCTAGTAGTAAGGCCAGGAGCCCCTAGTAGCGTCTTTGCTCGTAGTAGCGATGCCACGAGCCCCTAGTAGCTTCTTGTTCCTAGTAGTAAGGCCAGGAGCCCCTAGTAGCATCTTTGCTCGTAGTAGCGATGCCAGGAGCCCCTAGTAGCTTTTTGTTCCTAGTAGTAAGGCCAGGGGCCCCTAGTAGCGTCTTTGCTCGTAGTAGCGATGCCAGGAGCCCCTAGTAGCTTCTTGTTCCTGGTAGTAAGGCCAGGAGCCCCTAGTAGCGTCTTTGCTCGTAGTAGCGATGCCAGGAGCCCCTAGTAGCTTCTTTTTCCTAGTAGCAAGGCTAGGAGCCCCTAGTAGCGTCCGTGCTCCTAGTAGCGATGCCAGGAGCCCCTAGAGGCCCTAGTAGCGTCTTTGCTCGTAGTAGCGATGCCAGGAGCCCCTAGTAGCTTCTTGTTCCTAGTAGTAAGGCCAGGAGCCCCTAGTAGCATCTTTGCTCGTAGTAGCGACGCCAGGAGCCCCTAGT